AACATACCCATCCGGCATCGTCACATGAAGCTCCGGTCACGTCATCCCCCCCCCACCCCACCCCACTCCACGCTCAATCTGTTATGGCATAGAATCTCCCCCGTCACATGCCCGCCAGCGTCGCCCCCAACACCATACGTCACTCATCCGTATTTTCCGTCACATTTCCACCTCGTCACGCCAGACGCCTGCAATCGCACCACCTGAACCTCCCTTCCCGCATTGTCCCAGAAGTACCAGTCATAGTTATTGCAAAGTTTCGTCTACGCTTTCCGTCACGTCGCGCTGTCTGCAAGGATTGTATACTGTCATCCGCGACGGTCCACCGTAACATTGTATGAACGAAGAGGCACAGATAGCATGCAGACGGGATTTCCTTGCAAGCCATGAGGCGGCCATATATCCTAGTGTTTAAGAACTCGCAGATGAAAGGAAGGGCTTGCGAAACTCGCGTAACTTGATAAACACGGGACAATACTTCGAATGAATGAAAGACACAAAGGAAATATTTTGACAGTAAGCATCGCAACAGATAGCCCGACGGGAAGCGCCCCAACCCACGAGTGCAAATAAATAAAAGAAGTGGTGGGTGTCTGTTGGAGGAGAGGGGAGGGAATGGGAGTGGTGGGAGGGGTGAGGGGGAGTGGGGGAGTGGCCTTGGTAACTCGGCCATGAGGAGGAGGAGGAGGAGGAGGAGGAGGAGGAGGAGGAGGAGGAGGAGGAGGAGGAGGAGGAGGAGGAGGTGAGCGGCGGCGGCGGCGTGCGGGAAACTCGGAGGAGCTCCCACACTCACAGTTCTCCCCCACCTCCGCTCCCCTTATGTCTTTCAACTCTTGTTTATTTGACTCTCACTTTTACAGCTGTATATTTGACTATCTGCATATTCTCCCTCCCTCCCTCCCTCTCTCCCTCTCTCTCTCTCTCTCTCTCTCTCTCTCTCTCTCTCTCTCTCTCTCACTCGTCACCCTCCTTTAATACTAATATACGCTGCCATGGGAAGGCATCATGAGATTCCTTGCCAAATTTCAAATGTCTTACAAGTAAAGATAAATCACTTTCATTCACTATGTTCTCTTCTTCGTTGATTTATTCTTTTATGGCACTAGACTTGATGTGGATTTCAAGGTTTTCCCATCCATCTGGGAGAGGAAATTACACGAAACCATCTTAATGCTGACAGCGGCTACGTCACCGTTTTCTTGGTAAATCATGACCAACACCTTGCTCGCTGATGTTGTATTGACCTTTACTTGTTCTCACATGTATAAAGCAATAACGATCGCAGCCC